GCTCTGGTGTCAATTATAGCCATCTCTCACACACTTGATTACTATTCAAACAAGCTGGAACCTCTGTAAATTTTTAGATTTCTAGGTCATCCCCAGAGTCTGAGTCAGAGCCCAGGAATCTGTATTTCTTAATAAGCTCTTGCATGAGTATTAGGATCAGATGATTTTGGTAACTACTGAATTAGAGAGTTCACCAAGGTGTTGTAGACTATTGTTGATGAATGTATGTCATTAATCTTTAAGGTCCAACAAAATCCTATTGGAAATGGGGTTTTGAAATTTCTCTTATAGTGAATCCAGAGTAAAGCTGCAATTTTTTTTTACTTATGCTTTTAAAAATTATGGATAATTTTTCAGGGAGAAAATTTAGTTTTTTTCTCAAAAAAGAGAGATGTGAATTTAGGTTTATTTAAACACAATGATAGTATGACTAATGTACTAGATGAAAAATCCATTTTAATTTATAAGTTTTCTATATATGTACTATTCTTGAAATTTATTATTGTTTTTACTTTGGCTTATAATGCTTAAAAATTAAATACTGAAAGTGTCTGTCAAATTTTGCAATTTTCCTGTTAACTGCAGTAAAAAACAGCTCCAAAAGTATAAAACAAATGTCACTTTCATGACAGCAAAGGAACATTTGACTTTCAAATAAAAAAATGTATCTGAATCAATGTCGTAGAGAAATATAAAAGTTGGTTAGATGTTAGCAAATACATGTTCTAGACTATAAAGAGAAAAAGTAAGAATATAGAGACTGATGAGACATAATCATCACATGCTAAATTATGAAAGATTTAATGTGGGATTTTGTAAAAAAAATTGAATACTAAAGTAACTTGCAATTCTTATTAAAGCTCGGAGAGGGTGGTGAAAAGCTGATATTTCAATAAAAAGAATAAAGCATCCACTTTTTTTTCAATTGACTATTGGTGTGCAAGTACACACACACACATATATGTAAATATACATTCACATAGATATTTAGACAGTCCTATGTACATATATAATTTTTCCTTGAAATTGCTTTCCTGAGGCTCAGTCAGTTATGACTAATGAAAAGCAGAAAAGGCACTCATACATTTTTAGAAATTAATTTACACCACTTATAATAAATCTAAAATATTGCTATTATGTTAATATTGTTTTGGTGAAATAATAATCTAGTTTTGGTATCTATATCCAATTCCACACACACACTCCCAAAATCTATTAGAACAAGCCGTCAAAAACAACCACCACCACCACCACAACAACAAACAGAAAGGCACAAATAAAGGAATGTAGAAAACACTCTAAATATTTCCTTTTGAAATCTGCACCGATAAAACCTTTCACGGGCACATGTTTTGCCCTGAAATATTCAGTTCAATTATTATATTAGGACAAAAGCCTGAAATTGAATTTTTACTTGTAAAGAATAAGAACATTTTCCCCTTGTGGAAAGTAACCCTGGAAAACGAGACACAAATAATACTGAGCCAATAAGAAAAACTTGTTCAAGTTTAGAAAAATTAAGTGTTAAGTTGTTTAGGGCCCCTGAAGAAGAGCACACTTAGAAAGGGTATATGAGATCACAGGGGAGATACCTAGCAGCGATGATAATATCAGCAAAGCACAGTAATAATTTGGAGATATATATATATATATATAATGTGTATGCACATAAATGCCTATATTCACAAAGGTTCAAAAAACATATGCAATACATTTTCTCATTTACTTTATAAAATTTTCTTCTCTGTGGGAATAGGTATGTTTATGCCCTACAGTTTCTTCTTAGATATAAAGTATTTCTTTATTATAATAGTAAATGCTGCATTCTTATGTACAGTATATTGGTGTTAGTTTTTTTAGTAATACATAATATACTTATCTAAGGCTTTTTCTTCATTATATTGAATTAGTTATAATGGTATAAACCAACTGGCTAAATTTGATTTTAAAATTATCATTTACATTAGCTGAGTTTGGACAGTTGTCTTATGTATAATACTTGAGTGGTTTAATTTTTCAGAAGTTTTTACATTGGACAGATGCTATTGTAACTTTGTCTCACATGAGAATTCTAGCTTATGTCCTTTTCACTGACTATCAATTTATACCCATAATTTTCTGACTTTCCTCTTGGGAGCCTATTTTTTTTTTTTTTTTTTATAATAAGACTTATTTTGGAAAATGTCAAAATCAAAATCATGTGTTATAATAAGTGTAGATCCTAAGTACACAAATGTATAGCTATAATCTAATTTGCTTATGCTTTATGCTTATGGAGGTATGTTTATGGGGCTCTACATTAATTTGAAAATTTTCTTTTTTATCAACGTAGACTTGATAAGTTTAAAATGTATGCCATCACTAAAATTAAAAAAAATATAGAAAATAATTCAACAAAAAAACCAAAATGGAATCATTAAAAATTCAGTTAATCCAAAAGAAGGCAGGGAATTGAAATGAAGAGAACATGACAAGCAGAAAATGAATAGCAAGATGACAGATGTAAACCCGATTACATCAATACTCATTTCAAATGTAAAGACTCCAGTAAAAACCAGAGAAAGTTGGATTTAAAAAAGGAGACCCAACTATATGCTGCACAGAATAAATGCATTTCAACTATAAAGTACAATTAGGTTAGAAGTAAAAGGATGAAAAAAACATATACCAAAATATCACTAATCAAAAGAAAGCTGGAGCACCTCTTTCAATACGGGCATAGTAGAATTTAGAGCAAAAAATATTACCAAAGATAAAGAAGGTCATTTTTCTATGATAAAGGACTTATTTGAGCAAGAGGACATTGTAATCCTAATTGCTCATGCATCTTTTACCAGAGTTTCAAAACACACCAAGCAAACACTGATATAACTGAGCAGAAAAATGGAGAAATTCTCAATAATGGTTGGAGATTTCGACATTGCTCTCTCTGTGATTGACAATATAAGTAGACAGAAAATCAGTAAAGATCTAGAAAACCTGAACAACACTATCCAGTAACTTGGCCAAGTTGGCACAAAAATTTTACATACAGTTCCGACTAAGATAACGAAATGAAATGTATTAATATGAAGTTTTCTAGTCTATTAAGGAACATTTTAAAATTATTTACATATAATTATTAAATCACATGCATAATATAAATGGAGACGAAGAAGTATTTCACCACTACAATGGTTTCACCATACTTTTCTTTACAGCTCTTCCCAAATCAACTTATATAAGTATTTCACTATTATAGATGGGTTTTTTGGAAATATTACACAAGGATAATGGATGAAAATACTTAGCTACTTTAAAATTAATTTTAAGAGTTGTATAATTTCTGAAGTTTAAAAATCTTCATCTTATGGAACTTTTTTTTCTCTCTCTATGCATCAGAATGCTTACTGTAAAATGTGAAAGATAGGAACTGAAATAATTACCTGCAATAAATTATGGCAGATATTTGTCTACAGCTCCAAAATAAATTTTAACCTAGTTTTACAAAATACCCAATATTAATTCAACCTAAGATGCCACTGATTATAAAACATGGCGTTATTTTATGTTCTAGAAAATATTAAGTGCTTCCAATTAAATTGTGACATTGTAAGATACAACAGTTTCTCCTGTGGTAAAATGTAAAATGTGTGTGTGTTCTGAGACGTTCAATGAATGTGTCAAGATGCTAAATGGGTTTGCTCTAAGATGTTAAAAGGTAAACAGATATGGTTTTCATAATCTAAACCAAAAAACATGTCACCTTTAAACCAAATTTTGTGTGAATGGAATTCAGAATCTGTTGACTCACTTAAATAGCCATTGCAGGCTTAGAAATTCCAGGAAAAATTTATAAATTTTCTTCCCAAACACTTGAAAACAGATATCCCCAGCTTTCTATTAGTTAATATCACAATAATTATAAGGGAATAAAAGGGTAATATATATTGGAAAAAAAAATCATTGTTAACTCAGAAATACTTCATGTATATGAAAAGTGTGTTATATGTGCACCCACATCCTTAAACAAAGAGATTTTGTTTCTGTTGATGTCTTCAGAAAGCTAGAGTTCTTTGCAAAAAGACTCTAAGGAATGAATTAATTTCCATTTCATTCGTCCAGCTCAGGTCATATTTTAACATTTGACCCAACTAATTATTGATATGATCCCAGAGCACCTCCATTCTCCAGGGTCCCACAGAAATTCAGATAAGTTGATACTAAGAAAAGTTCAAAATGGTAAGAACTTATAGAAAAACAGTTAGAAATTATATGGTGTAGAACTGTGGGGTGCATTGATATATATTTTTTATTGTACTACTAAAACAGGTTATATAGGTCAAAAATGTAAATATCTACCAGGCCAGTGTGGATCAATGGTTGAGCATCGACCCATGCACCAAGACATCACTGGTTCAATTCCTGGTCAGGGCACATGCCCTGGTTGTGGGCCAAATCCCCAGTGCGGGGGCATGCAGGAGGCAGCTAATCAATGTTCTCTCTCATTGATATTTCTATCTCTCCCTCTCCCTCCCTTTCTCTCTAAGATCAATAAAGAAAAACATATTTTAAAACATTTAAAAATCTATGAATTAAAACACAATTAAGGAAACTAAGCAGAGAAATATTCTGTATTTTAATTTTGATGGACTAGTACAATATTCAAAATAGATGTATTTCTAAAATTCCTAATGTGTTGGAACAATAACTATTTGCATGTGCTTTGTGATAAATAATTCAAGCTTCTATTAGGTTTTAAAATATAAGCTGAATCATACTTAGTCAGATCTTAGGTCATTGATAATATAGAAATTGTTATTAGTAAAGGCTGCTCCATTGTCTTATTAGCCTATAAACTCCTTTAAAGTGCTATTCTTTAAAGCTTTTTATCTAAGATACATTTTTCAATGCATGTAGCCATTATTTTTATTACAGATGTATCAGCAGTTTGTTCAGTCAAACTTGGATACAATTTGATCCTTCACCTCTGCATGTTACAAACCACATGGATGACTTACCTTATCTTTTCTTTGTTTTTCATCCTGGTATACAGTCCAGTGCTCTCCATCATTGCTGTAAGCTAGCTTGTAGGAGCCTACGAACTGGACATGACCAAAATCTTTAGCTCCTTGTGTAATAATGCCAGTCACTTTAGTAGGAACTAGAAGATCTACCTATAAACAGGAAAAGACATAATTTAAATCCCACAATAGAGTCTGTTATAAATTTTCAAGTCTCTTGAACTCAGGAGATTAAGAAGCATATATACTAAAGGCAAAATTTCATTGATTATTAACCATTTGAAAAAGATTACTGAGTCTATTATTGGCTTGTGATTTTTATTTTGCCTCTGGGGTAAACAGTTTAAAACTTGAATAACCATTTTGACCATTTTAAAATGAAAAGATGGTCATTTCAGTGTACCAGTCGATTTCATATTAAACGAATCCATCCAGCTATGCAGTTTTGTATAACAGAGATAGTTCAGAACTGGCAAGCCTGATTTCCTGAGACTGATCATTATCTCCTAGAAACTGTATTATAATTCAATTTGCTGACTTCACTGGTCAGTTCATAATAACAAAATTGTTGCTGTGTACACATCAGAAACAAAATAGTATGAAATGTTGCCATGCATTTTAATCAGTTCACTAATATTTAATAAAGTAATCGTAATCATCGTTCAATGAAAATTCTCTTTCAGAAAACTACACTCCTGATAATATTGAGGAGAAAAGTCAAGTAGTCTTAAAAATGAAGGATGATTAAATATGCATTTATGACTTGTGGGATCTGTGCTCATATGTTTGTTCCTGCAAAATATATACTTAAAGGACAAATATATACTTAAAGACCCATAGTAATTTAGTAAGCATTAAGTTCACCAAAAAGTAGTTGAAATACAAAAAGATAGGGTTGATTTTTATCAAAGAATACATAACATTGAACAGTGTAGTATTCTCCCTCTTTATTCTCTAATTCATGTATCTTACATCTCATGAGGCTAATTTAAAAAAAAATATGGAAAAATGTGTTTCCATATGGACAATTCTTATAAGATCTTTACTTTTCGTTTCTTAATGTTTCTTGATCTATGACTTCCCTTCTCCTCTTACAATAGCCAACTACTTCCTCCTATACTTCCTGTGACTAAGTGCTCTGTACATCCTTGATCTTATCATCTTCAACTGTCATGATCCCATGTGTGACCTTGGTGGCTTTCAACCACTGTGTCCTTTTGTTTCTATTTCAGGTTCTCCATCCTGTGAGATGTACATAGCCACAAATAGACAGTCATGGGTCAGATACAGGCCATCAATGAGAAGAGATAGCCAGGAGAAGGCACTGAACTGAGCATATTTAGTGACATAGACGCTCATCAAATAAAGATACAAAAGAAGTTCCCAATGTTTCATAGCCTAAAATGATTTCTTTAGAACATTACATGAACTTTTAACTCACTTTAAAAATAATTCTTTAATTAGAGACACTAGGCTCAAATTGGACCACCTTTAATGCTTTATTTAAAATATCTTAGAATGTTTAATAAAAACTATAAAATATAGTGCTTCTGTTTTTGCTATTTTCCGAACATGCATTATGTCATCTAAAAACCTTGGCACCCAACGGCAATGCAGGATGGCAAACTTATGATGTTCTGGGAAATAAACTGTTGCCTCACTACAATAAGTGCTTTCTTCGGTGTGTTTATTGAATCCCATCCACAACCCTGTACGAGAGGGTATTCTCTTCACTTTTGGGATGAGGGAATAGATGTCTAACACAACTTGATGAGTGATCCAAAGACAAACAGTGAGTAAAGGAGGGGCCCAGATTCAAATTCATGTCCTTCGGATTCAAAGCTCCACCACACATACTGATTCTCAATCAGTGATGTTTTTCCTATTCTCCATGACTATTTCCGGAATTTCTGAGACATCACAAAGCTTTCCCACCACACTCATCAAACTTAAGCAACTCTAAGTCCCAGACAAAAATAATCCTGGCTTTACAATACTGGGAGAGCAGCCCTGTCTTTTAACATGAATTTCCACTCTGTTCTTCAGCCTTCTGGGCTTAAAAACATGGATTGCTTTTGTTGTCCTAAATCCAAATCTAATTACGCAGAGACATCTAGGCATAGCTGCTGGTCTTCAAAGTACTCTTGATGTTGCTAACACTCAATAAATGGAAAAAAAAACCACCAACAACAGCTCTTACAGTACTCTGTGTCACTCTTTGCCATCACGGCTGTAAACACACAGGAACTCAAACTGCCTCCAAAAATACAAACACCTCCAGGGACAGATTCTTCACTCCCTAAACTTCCTATAAATCGTTAGCTAAGATGACGCAATGAGGAGTCTTATAGCATCTCTTTTTCTGTGGTGTTTCTTAAAGTCAACTGGGCTCCCTGCTGGGTGGAGATGTTTTCTCCTTCAGTTGTGTGTCTTGGCTCTTTCTAACAGATAGGTTTTTCTCCTGGCCTAACTGCTCCCCTTCTCCAATTTTTTTTTTTTAATCTAGAAATGTTTTTCTTTTTTCCTTTTTTCAGTTAAGTCAACTTCGTGACTTAAATAGTCAGCAATGTGTCTCAAGTTGGATTTTGTCCTAAAATTTGTTACATTAAACTTAGATGATCAGGCTTAAGCAAACTTTTTTTGCTATAAAAACAATCAGCAACCCACATTTAACCTCAGGTTGCTGCAACAGGGCGTATACAGATCTCGCTCTGAGACACACTCACGAACATGTCACCCTGGTGTTCCGCAGGCAGGATGATCCCAGGAAAGCCCGTTCCTCTGGACTGAGGCTTATCCCTAGCCCAGATCACTCTGCTTTTGTAGATCATTCGAGTTAAAGTTATGCTGCAAACATGTTGGACAAAGTGACAAAATGCCTTCTGTTTTAGATGCTCACCTCCTAAGGTTTGGCTCAAGTAGAGCAGGTGATTTAGGGCTCTGAGCTGGCATGTGAGTAGACTTTGGGCTTGGTGCACTGCACTTCATATCTGGATGTGTATTAAATATACCTTGTAACAGTCCCTCAGTAAAGGTTTTGCTGGACGGAGAGAGTACTACTTTCTAATCATTTTCCATGGACAAGAATCAATCCATGGCTAAAGATGCCACAATGTTTCAGCATAAAATACTAACAGCTTTTCACTTGTTTCTCTGTGTAGGATAATATTACTGATCAAGGAAACACAATGTCTTGGTGATAACAACCAATTTTTATTGGAAAGGCAACTCGTTAGTATTGTCTCTGATCTCAGGAATGTGATTGTGAGAGGCAACATACTCCAGTGGAGCTAGATGGTCTGGGTTCTCACTCTGGCTCTGCCCTCACCGGTTATCTGCCCCTGGGCAAGTTACTTTACCTTTCTACATCTCAATTTCTTTTTCTAAAAAATGAAGACAATAGTCCTCATAGAATTTATGAGGATTAGATGAGTTAATATTTATTAAGTATGTAAAATAATATATAGAATATAGTCAGGGCTATATAAGACTTTGATTACAAACAGCAAAATAAATCTGGAGAAAGAATCTAGGATTGGCCTTCGAGCACCTTATTAAAAGCATAAATAGGAACATTGGGTGGCCAGATTGTCCTAGAAGCAACTTTTGAATCATAGTATATTTTGGTCAATTTCTCAGGATATATACAAAGACAGTCATTTCATTTCTTAAAAAATATGTTTTATTGATTTGTTTAGAGAGAGAGAGAGGGAGAGGGAGAAAGAGAGAGAAATATTGATGAGAGAGAATCATCTATTGGCTGCCTCTTGCATGCCCCCTACTGGGAATTGAGCCCAGAACCTGGGCATGTGTCCTGACCTAGAATTGAACCAGTGACCTCTTGGTCCATGGGTCAACATTCAACCACTGAGCCACACTGGCTGGGCAGTCATTTCATTTTTACTAAAAGTAGAGAAAATTTGAAACAGCTGAAATTCCCATTTATGGGTAAAATGCTTAACTAAAAGTAATACAATTAATTTTATGGAATGCTGTGCATTCCCACTAGAATATTGAGATTATATTACAACAGGGAAATGATTTGAAAGTCTTAGAAGAGAAAATTAGATTCCAAAAATAGTGATTTTCCCCTTTAATTATAAGAGTGAAAAAAGAGGGATAGATAGAGAGAGGCTTAAATGATATATACGAAAAGAGTATTGCAGGAAGAATGTAACTTTTGTGTTATAAAACATCCTGTAATGTCTTAGCAAAGCATATTTTTAGAGTGTCTAACTTAGAGAAACAGTGTAGAATAAGTAAGAGCATTTGTTTGAGAGAGGTCAAGATAAGCTACATTCCAGATATCTGCATTACACCCTGACAGATGGCTAGGACATAAAGGACATAGAGAAGACTAGGAAAGTCATGCTTTCCATGGAGATGTCTCTAAAGGAGTGATGAAAGTGAAAAGTGATACAGATAAATAAGTGTGCAGAGAAGTGAATAAAAGACCAAAGAGATTTATCACAGAACTATGCCGCTCTGTTGCACCTAAAATGCTTGTTTTTGTTTTTATGTTGTATCAATAATTACATTTTTTTCTTAATTGATTTTAGAGAGAAAGGAAGGGAGAGGGAGAGAGAGAGAGAAGCATCGATGAGACAGAACATATATTAGCTGCCTCCTAAATGCCCCACACTAGGGATTTGGTCCACAACCTGGGCATGTGCCCTGACCGGGAATTGAACTGGCAACTTCTTGGTTCATGGGTCAACATTTAACCAGTGAGCCACACTGGCCAGGATATATCAATTATTTAAATTACACATTTTATAACTTTATAGAGATTTGTAAAATTAACTCATTAAACAGAAATGACTTTGAAACTAATATAATAATATAGCATTTAAAAACAGATTTATGGGTAAAATATTTAGACAACATTATGGTCTTAACAAAGACTTTTCACCTCAACATTACCTAAAACAATTGTATATAATTTTAGCTATTTTAAGGCACATAATTAATTGCACTTAGAATTTGAACAATACTGTTGGTTATCAGAGGTTGGTTATACTTTTGAGTCTATATATGCAGGCTTATTAGTCAATGTTATCAACTTATTATGAACTATTTTCCAGCCCCTGTATCTGATATGCTCTTGTAGCTTTAAGGGTATGGGTTCAGCACTTTAAAATGTTCTGGTGGTC